ATACAGTTCCTCATGTTGTGGTGACCCCCAACCATAAAATTATTTTCATTGCTACTCTATAACTGTAATTTTGCTACTGTTATGAATCGTAATATAAATATCTTCTTGTTTTCCGATGGTCTTAGGTGACCCCTGTGAAAGGGTCATTCGACCCCCAAAGGGGTCGCGCCTCACAGGTTGAGAACCGCTGCCCTAAAGAATTTATATAAGACTGGAATGATCTGTTTCTTTAAAGTTTGGTTGAACTTCTGTGTAACCATCTGGGCTTAGTGTTTTGTGGGGAGGCATGTAGGCTTAGCATTTTAGGGGGGAAGTATGTATTCAACTTTCTACATGGTTTTATTTAGGATTTCTGTTCCTAGTTTGGTCAGTTTTTAGAAAGTTTTTTTTTTCCTCTTTTTTTTTTTAGGAATCCATCCATTTTTGTCTGAGTTTTTAAAGTATTTGGCACAAAATTGTTCAGAGCATTCTTTTGTTATGTTTTAAATTTTTGCTAAATAGTATTTCCCTCTGTTTTTTTATTCCCAATATTTTTTGTGCCTTCTTTTTCCTTCATCAGCCTTCATACAGATTTTATATATTTTCTTAGACTTATCAAAAAACCAGTGCTAGACTTTGATTTCCTGTATTGTATGTTTTCTATTTAATTAATTTCTGGCCTTTCTCCTTTCTACATTTTTTAAGGGAAAGCAGAATCCAAATTATATGGACACTGGGATATCTCCCAGTTTCCAAGGACAAGCTTTCAATAGGCCTTAAGAACAGCTGGAATCAGGGGCTTACAATGGTACTAGAACTTACTTTTTCCTCTTTCCTATTTTTTTCTTTTTGGTGACAACTGGCTTTTCTATTCTTCGGTCAATATGACAGAAAATGGTGATAATGAGCCTCAGAATTTGATGTCAATTCCAACTTTCTGTGCTCTTGATTCCTCCAGGGATTTCAGATTTTTTCATCTGGATTCATACTTTCTTTCTGAAGATTGTTTTCTTTATAATTCCCCTTAATGAGATTTTCTGTAGCAAACTCAGTGTTTGTCTGAAAGTCTCTTTATCACCCTCATTCGTGATAGATATTTCATTAGGTATAAAATTATGGATTGGCAGTTATTCTTTTAGTTTTTGGAGGAAATGATTCCACTGTCTTCTGGTTTCCATTGTTGCTATTGATAAATTATCTGCCTAGTAGTTTTTCATTTGAGTGACTCTGTCTTTGTTACCTTGGGCTGCTTTTGAACTTTGTTTTTTGACTTTCTGAAGTTTCATATGCTGTCCCTAGGTATAGATTTATTTTTATTTACCCTGTGTAAGATTTTGACTGTGAGCTGCTTATTTTCCCTGGAAGAAATATTTGTGGGTTTTCTATGAGGCCCAAGAAGGAAATGCATTGCTTCAAGAGGAGTTACCTTTGTTTGTTTTGTTTGTTTTTCCAGATGCCTCAAGGTACTAGTTTGGTGACTAAATTCACCCCTTGAGGTTTTGAACAACCCACGTAGGGCAGATTTGGGTTGCAAATATCTGTGTGGGCCTGCTTGTCTTTACAGCCTCTTAGAAATCTTTGTTCTCTTCTGCAATAGGAAGACAAATTTCCTTGTCCTTTGGAGATGAGATGTGGGAATGGGTAGAGTGGTTTTAATTTTGATTTACTCTTTTCTGGAGAATAAAACTTTGGTGGGGCAGTCCCGAGCTTTATAGAGAAAGAACCTCCTATTAGATTGTCCATGTTGGATGGGTCTTGAACTTTGACTTCTGTTCTCTCCCAAGAGATCATTAAAACTGCAGCTGTGGGTGGTGAACACACAATGTGATATATAGATGATGTGTTGCAGAATTGTGCACCTGAAATCTGTGTGACTTTGCTAGCAGTTGTCACCCAATAAATTTTTTTTTAATTGGGGAGTGGGAGGGATGGGAACAGAGCTGGGGAATTGGGGAAAGGGGAACAGACAAGTTGCTGTCGTTCTGTTCTTCAGTCTAGTTGTGGAGGACGTTGCTTCACTGGCCCAAGTTGGCACCATCATTGCGCTTTTCCCAGACGAGGCAGATCAGTTGCCGGCTTCCAGATGGCCACTCACTGTGGCTGCTGGCCGCTCACGCTGGCTGC